TTCTGAATTGTAGTAAATTTGAATCACAATTCATAAGAACTTTTTGGCAAACTTTACACACACCCAAATATTTAAAAAACCTTCCCTTCCTGGTTTTGTATTTTGCAAAAAGGAAATTTTTAATTTGTGTTATAAAGGTATACCCGTTGTGTACCGCCTTACCTTGCTTTTAAACATCTGCTTATTTGATACTTTCACCTTTTATTTGTCCTCCATTAACTTCATTATTGCCCCCACACATCACAGTCAAAGGCACACCCAAATGTCACCTGCCAGGCTATTCTAGTCAACGTGTCTGATGAGATAAACCATGATGAAAGATGCCGTGCTCAAACAAAAGACAAGTTCCCCTGGTGGTGTGGGAGATTTCTGGGCTCAGTAAGACGGAAAGTGATGAAACACTTGAGAAGGAGGGAAATCACAAAGACTCAGTCCAACAAAGATATGTGCAGATCATAAGACATACATTCATGTTACAACCAGTCTAGGGGTTTGCGAAGAGCCTGGGTATGGCTGCACCACATGGCTAATTAGCATTACTAGCCTGCCTGCCATCTTACCTGATAACTCTCTTATCAGGTAAGATGACAAGTCTGTCTGCTGTCTTCATTAGCTGCCTTTGGTGAAATATGCTCTGATGGTGTTGTGATACCTCAACACTTCACAGACTGGTAAAGTTCCCACTTGTGCATGTATGGGTGCAACAACAGCACCTTTCATTGAAAACCCTCACCTGGCAACAAAATATGTATATATAGCCAAACAGTCATTTTAAACATTTAGACAGCAACCCACCCCATGGGCTAAAGTAATAAACAGGATTTCAGCATTTCACATAAGCAAAAATAGCAAGCGTATTTCTTCGACAAAGGGGGAAAAAAATAGGATGAGTCTGTGTGAAATGACTCACAACATTATGGTGCATGAACAGAGCTGCTGAGGCTGAAGTCTTGTCTACAGAATCGCTGCAGTATGTGATCTGGTGCACTGCAATTTAACTGTCGATTAGGCCGTAAACGCTCAGTAGATTCCGCTCCCTTATACCTGCGCTGAAGAGGTTATGTTTTCAGTCCCATTTGTTTGTTTGCCTGTTAGAGAGGATGGTTTCTCAGAAAATTGCTCATGACTTCAGAGGAAACAGGAGATGCTACAGACCATAAAGTGTACTGATCTAAGAGATATTTTTTTTCTCCACTAAACTTCTCAATTCATAGTCATTTGTTATACATTGTACATAACCTATTTGAAATCAAACTAGAGAGAAAAAAGAGAAGTCTTAATTACCAAAATTGTTTGTTATCATTTATTTAATTATGTGTAGATTAGCTATATGAATGATGAACATATTTAATAGTTCTATAATGTCCCTGAATAGAACTGTTTATATATTCTTCCCCAAACAGGCACTGCAAAATCTACTTAAGATTTTTTTTCTCATTTTTCCCTTTAACTTTATTTGAAAAAGATACATGTATTCACAAAAATGATGTATAAACAGTTTGAACTATCCAGAAGAGGCACAAGCAGTTTTCTTATGCACTCTAAAAGCAAAGCTTGAAAAAGACTTGGCCGTAGGAGAAATACATTTTACTGCTAATATTTTAAGCTTTTACTCCCGCAGGATTGTACAGAGCACTAACTGCTTCACTTAAACAAAAATCCGAATAGTTCTTTCCTAAGTCATATCATTGAATTGCTCAAATGTTTGCAGACGAGTCCGCAATTGAAGCAGATTAAAAATTCAAATAATTTTGATGACATGTTTGGCTGATTGTGCAGCCCTTTTCTCAATGCAAAGCTTTGTTTAACGACTATTTTGTTATTTATTTTTTTGGTTCGTTGTTTGACTTTTCACATCTTTACAAAGTAACATACGATTTGTACTTTTGGAGCACTGGCCTTGGCACCTCATGCATCTAAACTTTACCCTCGTATTTTAAATATTTTAAGTAGCCCTTGAAGTGGGCACTACCTCAGAACAGCCTCTGGACAAGACACATTTTCTATGCCCTGTTCTTTCTCTCTCCTCTCATGAACCAAAATCTGGTGCCAAGTAGGCTAGCTTTCTGTTGACTATTTTTAACCTCAAAACTGGCACAACTTTTGTTAAAGCTTTTGATCTTAATAAGCCCCATAAAGACAAAAGGATGTGCAGGACATAGCAATTTTTGGTGCTTCCTGGTGGCTGTTTAGAAAAAATGTTTTTATAGACAAAGGAGAATAAAATTTGATCACAGCTGTATAATACCAAACATTTGAAATACCAATCAAAGACAACTACTGCATAGAAATACAAAGGGCAGGCTGTTTAATGTGGTGAGGGATTTCCATTGAGTGGAACTGGACAGCACCAGCTGCATTGTAAGGGTGATAAAAACAGTCCCACAAATGGGGCTTATTTTAAATTAAATTTATCTGTTAAATTAGTCCAGCCATCGTTTTTTCAGATATGAAGAATGAATAGCCGTTTTTATTATCTGTTGAGCTTTGAAAACTACAAGACAGATCTTTCACTCTACCTGACAAAAAACTAAAATGATCCCTTTTTACCTGCCGCAACGGCTGCACTCACTAGTCTTTACACTGCTGAGTAACCTTTTTAATATCAGTATTCCTAACCCTTTAAGACTATTGTAATGTTCATGCATTATTAATCATAAAGTCAGTGGATTCTTTTCACCATATACAGTATCGCCACTCCCAGCATATCATGGGTTTTCATTGAACAAATATTTAAGGTCCGCATTCATCTACTATTCTTCTACTTTTGCATCAAACTCCAGGACCTGGGTGGTTTATGTTTTCATTCTGTCAGCAATCACAGATCACTTTGTCTGTACATTTATTTGCACTTTGTTGCACAAGAGCTCCGTGAGGAGATTGTGTTACTAGAGAAGAACTAAACAGGTGATTCTAATTTTCAAAATGCATTTCAGTGACTAGTTTTATAATGTAGTTCACTTGTTCAAATATTTTTCAGAAGCCAAACTGCGGCACATTTGATTTGTCTGTAGTGTGCAAAACAAGAACATGTTATTTTTACTCCAGACCAGGCAGACAGACAGGGAGACGGGCAGACGGACAGACATGGTCGCAGACAGATAGACAGCATTTTCAGTTAGAAGTTATGAGAACATTTTGAGGTTAATAAATCATCCAAGGTTATTTAACTCAAACCATAATCCTCTCCAAAAGGGGCATGTCTCTAGGCAAGCTCTGACTGTGGATGTGGTTGGATGTCTTTTCGGGTCACAGCTGTGCATAACAGATGATGGCATTTCAAGTTGGACAGCTCTGTTAGATGAGGCAAGACTTGCTGACAGCAACTATCCAAAAACAGAGCATTCATTAAGGCAAATTATATAAATATTTTGTGATTTTTAACAGCAATCTGGTCGATCTAGACTGTGACTTATTGCCAATCCACTCTCAAAGATTTAAGCTTAACTGGGACTAATTCTAGGCATTTACATGTGTGTGAAATCAGACATGGTGGGGGCAGGGTAATGCCTACTCCTGTAGGACTGCTGCCTCCCTTGATTAAACACTGTTTTATTCTTAATATTTTACAAATGTGGAAGAAAGAGTTTAAAGAAAGTAAAAGCGTTAGTGAGTTGCAATATTTTGATTAACTGATGATGAAATTAATCTATATATTTATGTGGTTATTTGTTTTGTCTTTCATAGCCCTACTTTTGAATGTTCATCCCTGTTTAACAGCAGGGTCTTGGTTTTGTGGTGTCCAATCTGACCACCCTTTTGAAAACTTTCTGGTGCCCCTGGGCATGTGGTGGGATTCTTCTGAAAATCTAAAACTTATGTTATGTTAATTCCATAATTCAATGTATTTTAAAAAAATAAATATGCGGGACTTCCAAGTAAACAAAGATCCTCCAGGTATCAACTTTTTGTTTCTCAGGATCAAATAAGGGGAACAGTGATCCTGAGTGGAATTGGTATAAATCATTCATTCTTTTACGTTAAAATTTCTCTAATCACTTTCATTATACAATACCTTACACTAAATCTGCACTGACAATGTCATTAATGTCTTATGGATTTTTATTATTATTAAAAGAGGAAGGCGGATTAATTTGGTCATTTGTCATGTGGAGCACTGTGATGGCACCAGCAGCAGCTCCTCTGGAGGGGTGGGGGTTCAGAACGCCGGTCGCCTATAGGGCGGTGGCTGCGCAGGCATGTCCAGGAGCGGGACGGTCTGCGGGGAGAACGGCTATTGTCATGAGGCGACGTCTAAACCCAGCTGCAGATTGGCTTCAAGTCACGCAACCTCACCTGCGTCTCCGGCGGCAGAGCAGTGCACGACGCTGGTCCTAAAATGTGTTACCGTCACTGTTGGAGATGCACACGTATAGGCTACACTTCAAACAGTGACCACAATGTAAAACCTAACGAAATGCATAGAGGGCTTTTTCTTTTCTTTTTTTAATCTTCACAAATTCGTTGTTTTACATGGATTTGCTAAATCCCATAAAATGAACCTAAGCGCAGCCTGTGGTTGTAAATATCTACTCAATGACACCGGACTCAGCAAACAAGACACCAGCCACCTCGCCTGCATCCTGTATCAGTTTCAGGAGACACATGCCCAGCTGAATGAACACAGACACAGAAGGCTTCAGAGAACTAATCCGCAGCTTTTAACGGTCACTGAGGCGACATCCAAGTTGTCCCCCCGACACAGAAACTTGTGTAGTCGCATTCTGCTCCTCACTGCGCCGCACAATTCAACTTCCAGGCATTCCAGCACACTTGGCTCTGACAGGCAGACAGCGGCAGCCGCGCACTGCTGCAGCCGGAGCTGCGCCGTTTTAGAGGCGAGCCAACTCTCCCCCTTTTCTCGTGTCTGCGCTGAATAGAACAACTTGCCCTCACGTGTCACAAAAACACAAATGATCTTTTACACTCCACGCAGCCTCCACCTCCCCGCACCACCACGCCCGTCTGCACAACAGCAACATCCCTCCAAGGGGGCTCACCTTTAAAGACGCTCGCGCAGAGGCTGTAGAGGATGAAGATCAAGTGCTGCTTGAGCATCATATTCTTCTCTTTTCCTGCACAATTTTACGCCAACACTCCACTCTCTCTTTTTTTCCCCCCCTCTCTCTTCTGCCAAGATTGGACTTATCCAGCTGAACGGCGCAGTTTCTGACTGACCCGAGTTACATTGACGAACTCTGCCGTTTCTGCAGGAGTCCCTGTGTGTTCTCGCTGATCAGAGGGGGCAGTGATGACTGTGGAGAAGCAGGACGGCAGAGATGCTCGTCGGCAAAGTGCAGCTCCTGCTTCCCTTTATTGCTCTCACTTTGACTCGCTGCAGAGAGCTAGAGTCCCGCCCACGCCTTTTGACTAATGAAGACGCGTCGCCAATGAAAAACACCTAGACATACTTCGGATCTCCGGTAAACAATTTCAGCAGAGTACACGGTTACTTTGTTATATCGGTTTCGAACGCGGGACCGATTTTTAAAATGTATTTTTTATTAGATTCTTGTTTTGTTAAAAAAAAAAAAAGAATGATTAGTGCAAAGATTTCCAAAAGCTTCTGCAGAAATATGACTATGTAGCTGAATGTCTTCTTCACAAAACAATAAAATAAAATAAATAAATAAATAAATAAGTGAAATACATAGTAAGATCATATGAGTCCAGATGAGTTCTATCATGATCATAATTTCAGTCTTGCGTTTTGTGGCAATGTCAGTTTAGTGTTTGACTCAGGATTGTGAAATTATGGAAATGTTTTTTTTTTTTTTCAAAAAATCTGAAAAACGCAGCGTGCTCTTCTTGTGCAACCTTCTGTTGCAGCTTGATTTGTGTTTTGTTTTCCCTCCACCAACTTTGCAAATCATGGTAATTTTTCAAAACCAGCCACAGCTGTTCAATTGGATTTTAGTTTGAACTTTGACTGAGCCATTCTAAAATTCAAGCAATCTTTGATCTGAACCATCCCATTAGCTCTGACCATGTCTCCATCCATCTCTGGCCAATGCTTTCCTTTCTCAGTTTAAAGAGACAACCATGTGGTACTACCTTCACCCGATTGCTTACAAGACACAGGGCCATACTTTTTTTTTTGAAGGGATATGGGGAGCAAAGATTTTTCTAATGAATGCCTGCTTTGCATAGATTTTACTTCATCTAAAATCCTAGGCCAAAAATAGTTGGATGAATATTTGAATATTAAAATATTTGAAAATTATGAGGTTTTAGTTGTTTTCTTTGGGAACAATATGGAGTTATTAGTTATGGAATGTACTAAACCCACCATGCATCAATTCAAATCTGATGATGTATGGGACTTTCTATTAATGTACTGTAATTTGTATTAGTAAAATATTTTTTCTTTCTGGACAGGGCACCAAAATAGTGCAGAATTTCATACCCTTGTAAATTTGATGCTGCTTGCTACAAAGGTCTGCCATCATTCCATACTATTTCCATTTCCCTGATGAATGCAACTGATTGCAACGGATTTGTTTAAAGCAATCAAAATAAAGGCGGTTTAACATGTTTCATTACAATATGTAGAGAAAATATTAAGAGCATAACTTTCCTTTCACTACTGTGTGCTCCTTTGTGCTAGTCTAGTACATAATATCCTTATAAAACCCATTTAGGTTTGTGGCTGGAATGTGGCAATAGATGGGAACAGGTTGTGAACATTTTTACAAGGCACTATAAATTAACGCTTTCAGATCCAAAACAGCAAATAAGACAGGAATTAACACAAGTAACTAGATTTAACCAAACTGACACCTCATGCATTACTGCATGTCATGTGTTTTTAGAGGTCTGAAAGGGACAGCATGTGGTGATGATGGAAAGACCTGCTCATGTTGTGTGAAAAGACAGTTGCTTTCCAGAGGTGGTAACCCCGAGTCTGGGTGCATGTCAGGAATGACTGCACATACACAGGGGAGGTAAATGGGCTCCTGGACATCCTCCTTTCTTTCAAAGGGTTCCCACGAGAGGCGCAGAGAAATGAGTGTGGCCGTTCTCAAAGACAGAGGTGAGAAGGGGAAATGGCAGCTTCAGCCAGGGATCGTTCGCTAAGCCGATCGCAAGGATTTTACACATGGTTTAACATTCTGCTTGGCAAATTTGGTTCAATTTTTCTCAGTGGTCCTCCATGCCACTCCCACTTCAAATCAAATCGCTGACCTGAGCGAACAACCTGAGAAAAGATGTGGGGCTGAAAATGTAGTCCAGGCTTTTTACAGCCTTGGCTTCTCTCTCACTAGGAAAACAGCAGACGCGAAATTCATAATTTAAACATTCGGTCGGACCACTAATCTTCATCGGCAAAACAGAAATGAACGCAGTATATTTTCATGTTGTAATCAATTATGCTTTTAATCAAAATGATCCGAAAGGGAACCTTTTACTTAGATGTGCTGAGGCTGCATTTTAGCCTTTTTAAAGTTGGAACTATATGCACATCTCTTCTCCCGGTGGAGCTATTGATGCCTTTCTAAACTGTAAACCTTGAAGGACTGAGTGCTCTTGTCTGACATGCATTATCTTTACAACTCACTTATAATTCGAAGCAGAACTATACAAAGCCAATTACCAAGAGGATGGGGGTTAAGAATCAATCCCATGTGTCCTGAAGGTCAGTTTCTCGTCATTTCATTAGATCTTTGACAGTAGAATTCAACTCATGCACCTTCTTAACACCGGGAATTTATTGACTATCTGTGTTCAGCAGAAAAGCTTGGGGTGCTGACACAGATCTGTGATGCAGGGGAGCACATTCTCTGTGGGTCTTTCATCACATTCTGTTCCTTGCTTTGTATAATTTGAAATTCTCCGTCATGTGCACGACCAGATTTAACGAGGTTACAAGACGCACATCAGAATCCCAACTACCTATTGTGACACAAAACAATTTGAAAATGGTTCAAGTTATTTCAGAAGAAGCCTCCGAAACGTACAAAAGAAATCAAAACAAACTGCGAGACAAAAGGAAAAGCAGTGGTGACTCATTAATATGCATTAATCCATGAACGATAGGATTTCAACCACCTCACTGATCTAAGCAGCTATTCCAGACACATATTGCTCAATGCATTTTACATTTGTGACAGAATTTTCTAGATAAATGATTGTCAGTAAAACATTGTATTGGGACACAGTTTGATAACTTTTTGTCAACTAACTCCTGCACTGCAGTGAAAAAAAAGCTATTCAAAATTTTTTGGAAATAGAATTTTATAATTCAATGTGTCAGACACGTACATGTTTTCTTTTTTCTTGTCAGTGTTCCTCTGGGAAATAACAGCTGCTCTCTCAAGCTTTGTAAAGTCTGAAATTGGACAGTGTGCTGAGAGTGTTATATGCTTCTTGGATTTTTTTTTTTTTCTTACCCCAGGAGCAATGCTTGTTATTGATGGCGAGTGGGAATACAATTTCATCTGTTTATTGCTTTATTCATGGGTCACTGCAAGTCAGGACTGTATGAACATTTCTGTATATATTGTTAAATTAGAAATAATCACCCAGACATCTTGTGTATTGCATGTTGTGGTTACTATTTTCCAATAAAAGTGTAAATATACTGGTCTCATTTTGACAGTTGTCTCACCTTATAAATGCTGCATTGCCAAAAAGCTGAAGAATAACCAACAGCCATGCAGCTTTATGCATTTGTGTCATCTAAACAGTTAAGGAAACTTAACTATATACCACTTTCTACCTGTAATATTTATATTAAACATTTCAGTACCTTTCTGTTTCACCTGAGTAAATGAAATGATTTAAATTCTAATAGGCTGCCTTAGTCCTCAATCACAGGTTCGATTCCCGGCCTGGTGACCTTTGCCGCATGTCTTGGCCCTTCTCTCATTACCTACTTTCCTGAATAAATACTCTCAAATAAAGACAGCCAGAGTCAATAAAACCTTTAAAAAATTCTAATAGGTAAATTTAGATGGTCCGTCTTGACACCATTAGATCTCAATCTGTCAAGATTGGTGGACATTGTAATGGATGCGTGGGAGGTGCAAAGTGAATTTGAAGATTTAATGAAAACACAAACTCACAGGACAGAACAAAAAACATCCACAGAGAGGACAAAATCAAAAAAAAAAAAAACAGCAAGAATGGTTAAAACAGGGACCACACTGGGTAAAATAGGAAAGAGACGGTAGGAACGAGCAGGGATGTCTGAGAATGAGGCGCTGAGAGGTTCAATGCTGAACTAAAGACCTGAGCTGATGAACTAATTGGTACCAGGTGAGGAGAGAAAAAAGTGACACAGGCAGTGAGGGAGTCCACATTGGGGACTAAGAAATGAATCTTAACAAAATAACTGGACATAAACAATAAAAACTACAGTAACTAAGAAAAAGGGCGAGACACAAGAAATACACAGAATCACTAACAAGGAACAGAAGTAAAAATAGAAACAAGGCAGAATTAATAGAAAGAACTAAGGAACACAAATATTAACAAACCCAAAGCAAACTAAAACAACCCAATATCCCGACACAACCCTGTGTTTGAGAAGATTGATGATAAAATACCGACTGTAAATTAGATGAAAATGTCTGGTGCTGTGCTTGATTGGTTCAGATCTTAAATGGCGGACATTGAGTTATTTGGCAGACTTGATTTGATCAAACAAAGTTAACATTTGCATCAGGTACTACTTTTATTTCAAGTCTAATAATTCCCCCCAAGTTCTAAAGTTGTAAGATTAGAGATCAGTGCTCAGTATGCTTCAGGTAAGATTAAAAACACAGGAATGCAAGAAATGCAGGTGCTGACGTGAGTTGATATCTGAATTTTGACAACCTTGCAAAGTTTATTTCTAAACAGACTTTGGTTTCTTGTAACTGAGATCTAGGATCGCAACAGGAGATCCTGTTTAAATCAGTCGTCTTGCCTTCTTTAAACATTGGCAGATTAAAGGCTTTTCCTTCAAAACAGGACACAAAAGACTGTGACATGCATTTATTTTTAGTAGGCTCGATTTTTGTAGTGGTATCTTTATGTCTCTATAAAAAAGTAAGAAAGAAAGTCAAATATGTCAAAAAAACAAACCAAAGAATCAGTGGCTGCTCTAAGATGTGGAGCCCAGACCAACACCAGGATAAGGAATCACATCAAATCAGTCTTTATATTACTGCACTGGCTTCTTGTTTGTAAAAGGATATTTTAAAATCTCGCTGATCTATTAAGCCCTGCATGGCCTTAGGCCTAAATAGATCTGAGAGTTACTTGTTAGGAATGAACCATGAATTCCCCTGAGGTTGAAGATCTGTAAACT